CAATTAGTTTGAAGCACGGGCTTCCCCTCCAGCTCTCCAGCCTGCCAATTCCTTATCATTTCTTATTTCAACAATCTTGGTTCTCACACTAGGTCCAGTGTTATTATGATTAGCTAGCCTCTTGTGCACATTCCCCCCTCCCAGCATCATCTAACTCTAAAAGCAAAAAGAAGAAAATGGCTGCATCTCCATCTGTTGTTTGCAAGGAGTATAAATCTTTCCATTCCCCCACCATCCAGTCAGAGCGGAAGAAGCTTCTTGGATGAGAAGTAAAATGTCTTCAAAGAAAAACAAGAAAGTCCAGTTGCCTCATGAAAAAGCACCTTTAGGAAAACACGGTCATGTGGCTCCAGGAAGCCGTAAACAGCCATAAGTGCTATGAAGAGGTGGGTGGGGGTGGAGAAGATGGGCAGCCCTTAGTATTTTGGAAAGTTGTAATTACCTCTGAGGAGGTCCGTTGTCACTTCAAATGGTTCCTGAGCAACTGGGCATAAGTGGGGCTGTACCTATAGAAAAAGATGAGAAGGCAGAAATGACCAAAATCAGCCAAGTTAAGGAGATTGAGAAGCCTTTTTTTGACTCTACACTCATCAGGAACTGAACTTGATTCGGTGCCCTCAAATTTATTTAATTGCAATTCACAGGAGACCAGAAAAGGAGCAGCAGCCAATACCACACTCATCTGTTACTTCTTAAGTCTTCCAAAATGAGCTCTTCAACAATCTGGGGATAGCTCTCCCCCTCCCAGAAGAGGCTGCAGGAATCCCTGATTGTGGGAGAGAAACTCCTCTCCTTCTCCAGTGCCAGCATTCAGTTCAAACCTGGTCAGAACTGGCAGCTGTTTTGCTGCAAAAGGGAGAAAAACAGGGAAGTTCCCATCTAGTTGTATAATGGGAAGCTTCTGCTCCCTCTTGATGGGTCACCTCCCTGAGGAGATGAATTCCTCTCTTCTAGACTTCTCTTTTTCTCTTCTCCTCCATCCCTAAGTACCACCACCATGATGGATTTTCCCTCCAGCCCAGCCATCTGCCCCCTTCTCCTTCCAGATCTCCTTGTCCCTCTCCCCATCCTTTCTCAGGGAGAACCTCCATTTCTGGGGTCAAAGTTGCTCCCGGCTCCTTCCCTCATCTCTCCTACTTCAAAGCTGAGGGTCCAAAAAGACAGAATTGGAGCCAAGTAGTCACAGCAGAGAAGCTGATTGGAGGGGCACCAGTGTATAACCAGCTTGGTCTAGTGGTGAAGACACCAGGTTAGAAACTAGGAGACAGTGAGATCTAGTCCCGCCTTACATATGAAAACAGGCTGGAAATGGTGAATTCTAGACCCGCCTTAGGCATGAAAGCCTGCTGAGACTAGCCACTCTCTCTTTCAACCCAACCCACCTCACAGGATTGTTGTTGTGGAGAAAACAGGAGGAAGAAGAGTACTATGTCTGTTCCCCACAAGGAGTTACTTATAAATAAATGCAAAGTAATTGTCACGTTTCGAAGCATGATTTTGCTGGTGTGATAATTATTGCTTTTCAGCTGCCAATGAACTCCGGGGAGGGGGGAGGAGAGAAAGAAAGGGTTTGGAATGCAGAAATCAAAGATTCGGAAGCCAGACCGTGAGACTCAAGGACATTGCACCAGGTGTTTGACCAGACCCAGAGACACTTTCTCATAACAATATTTTTCTACTTGATTGGGCAACGTGACCTGACCCAGAGGGAGGAGGGAGAATTCCATGCTTTTACTATATGGGTTTGGAAGGGATCTTGCCAGAGCTGGTTTTGCTTTCATGTGTGCCAAAATGATGTACTCAATAAAGTTTTACATTAAGAGATTGGAATTTCTCGAAGGTGTTTGCTTGGTTGGGTTCGTCAGTTGGAACTTTTGACAGTAATAAAATAAAATAAGAAAGATGGGATACAAATCTAAACAGACAAACCTGCCTGAAGGGCTCCAGGCAGCCCATAATATTTTTATAGCAGGCTGAGAAAATTTTAAACCTGGACTGTTTCCCAATCCTACTCGCCCATCATTCTCACCAACATCTTTGCTTGCATTTGCTCTCAGATACATTTCACAGCCTGGACTTTGATTCTCGCATGCAAAACACAAAAATATTGTGTAATAATTCTACTTACGAGAAGGGTCATTCCTGGAATCGTCCTCTCCTTTCCTGAATCCTAGATTGCAGAAAGAGAGAGCAAAAAGAGGAGAGGTTAGGAGAAAAGCCCAGGAGAAGCCAGTCAATGATGGGAAGACGTAAACTTTAATGATCTCACTTCAAAAGATGCATATTGCAAAAGTTGGTGCCTTTTAACAAAATGTGTTAATCTGAAAAAGGGTTTCCAGGGTCTGGGGGAAATAAATAGGACTTTAATGTTCTCTAAAAAGAAGACAGATGGGAACGCCTGGGAAAAAAAAAACAGAAAAATTGGGGGAAAAAACATTTTGTCCGTTTTTTTCTAAATGGCTTTGGAAAACAAAAGAGGAAAAAAACAGAACACCCCCCCCCCCGTTTTTCCCCATTTTTTCTGGGTTTTTTTTCCCCAGGCCTTCCCATCTCTATTTGGGACTAACCAAATCTCAGGGAGGGGAGGTTATTGCCCTGTTTCCAAAAGGAGGAGCAGGAACAGAGACGGTAATAATAATAATAATAATAATAATAATAATAATAATAATAATAATAATAATGATGATGATGATGATGATGATGATGATGATGATGATGATGATGATGATGATGATGATGATGATGATGATGATGATGATGTTGGATCCAACTAAAAGGCATTGCCGACGCATCAGGAATCAAAGCATGCCAACCTTACATGGCAACAGATCTTCCAAATAGGATCAAATCAGTCCCTCTCTTAGGAGAGAGAATCCCAGGATCTTGGCTTTGATACAAGTGGATCGTGTTAAGATATTTAAATTTAGTAGCTGGAGCAGTGGGCTGTGCAGTGACCCAAAACACACAGGGGTTGTTGTCAACATCCAGCTTGAGGATCCAAATAAATCATCAGGTTCATTCTGTTTCTGAAAATCTTACTGTTTATTGAATACATGGCATGGTAATGTCAAAGCAAAATTAACTTTGAGGTTCCCAGGCACCAATTCATAGAATTAAACAAATAAAACAAATATACATACATATACACATGGATGAAGGGTTAAT